GGAGGAGGAAGCGGGGAGGGAGAAGGTGGCAAGCACCCGGAGCCGGCAGCACTCGGCAGTGGCAGAGCTGGCGGTGCTCAGCAGCGGCAGCACATAGCGGCTGTGGCGAGGCCTGTACGCAATGCCCGCAGGGCCCCCCAAAGTGTGAGGCCTGGGGTGGTCACCCTAATTCACCCCAGGGACGGCCCTGTTCATAACCTTCTATTACTCTTAGGGCCAGATAACAATATTCAAAAGTAGACCACTGCAAGCAGGCTGAGTTCAACAAATGAATTCACCTTATGTTGGTGTGAGATACATTGGACAAGGTAAATGTAGAATATTATATGGTCTGAAGCAGTTGGAGAAAGAAAATATACTGATTTCCTTTTAAATCTTCCTAAATGGAGCTGATCTGTAGGAGATAGGGAAATAAAAACTACTCTTTGTTCCTTCCTAAAGATCTGTGTAAAAAGGGATGCTTAATTTAGTAGGATCCAAGTTAGACATCTATATGTTTCAAAAGTTTTTCCTCCCCTTCTTTCATAAAAGAAACTTGTTTACTGCAGAGAGACATATTTATAATAATTTATAAACAGCTAGTTACAGAAGGTTGGGACAAGACCAATGTTTTAAATTGTGTTTACTCTAAACCTAGAAAATATCAACACATTGTGATGGATCCTGAAGACAGATTACTGTGTCAAGCCAACTACTTTCTGCCAGTGCAGACCAAGACAGGAAAGGGAAGGAGAACTGAACAGTATACGACTTATTATTCATTTAGATACTCCCATGAGATTCTCTGGCTATTCCTTGAAGAGCATTTATTGTGGAAGAGATGGAATAGTAGGCTTCCTCTTCCTCCAAAGAGCACCTGCTAATCAGTGTTAGGAGGGAGCTGATCACCACTCAGGAAGCTGCTGCTGCACTACCCCAACTGCCCCAAAAAGGTACTGGTATCTAGGGGCCCCTCTACATGGACAGGTAAAAGTATGATGGGATCTACTGCGCTGTGCACACATTTGTACCTCCCACCATGTCACATGTGCATGGCAGGAGGCACAATTGTGGGATTGCATGTTAGATCCCATCACACCTTATTGCTGGTGCAGCAGAGTCTGATCCTGGGCTCCCCCTAACTGGCAAGAAGCAAGCTCCCACAGCTGGGAGCCTCCTCACCTGAGGGGCTCCTAGCTGCAAAGATGCACCCCCAATACCCCCCATGGCATAGGGCCCCGTGGCACCCCCCAACACACCCCCACGGCATTCTCCCAGCTCCCAGGGTACACAAAACTCCTCAAGACAAGGAGATCACAGCAGCTATAGTCTCTAAGCCCTGGGAGTTTCATGCACCCCCAAGGCTGGAAGATCGCCACAGGGTGCTGCCAGGGACCCAGAATCCATGGCTGCTGGGGTTGAGAGTCCCCTCAGTTGTGGGACTCCCAGTCCTGAGTGGGCCTGGTGCACCCCTGTGGCTGGGAGCCCAGTCAAGCTGACAGGAATCCCAGCTGTGGGGGAGACCCTGCAACACATGCACATTAAAGCGTGATAGCAACCAGCTATAAAGTTAGTACACATTTTTGAGGTCTAACTTTATAGCTGGTTACAGCTTTTTATGGTGTGATAGATGCTTTGCACATGTAGCTGGTCTCAAGGTAATTGTGCAATTAACCAGTTAATTGTATAATACCTATGAAGTGTAGAGGGAGCCCAGCGATTACGAAGTTTGTTAATGTTTGCGGTTTACTTAAGCAGAGCTTCCCAAACTTTGGCTTGATCCTGTTAATTGCTGACTGGTTCCTGTAAAGTGCTGAGCACCCTCAACTCCCACTGAAATCAAAAGAAACCAGAAGTGTTCAGCACCTCACACAACAGTCCAAGTGCGCTAACAGCATCTTATCCACTGGCAGGCTGCTCACAAAAATAAAATACAGGTGCTTGTACTCTACAGTATTAGGAAGCAAAGGAATTGCCACACTGGGACAGCCTACAGGTCCTTCTAGTTCAAAAGCTCATCTCTGACAGTTGCCAGTACCAGTTGCTTCAGAGTAATGAATCTTGCAGGGAGCAGAAGTGGGAAAAACTGCTACCTAGGAAAGTTTCCTTCTAACTGCAGTAGTTAGAGGCTGGCTGAAACCCCAAAGCACAAGGTTTTTATAATCCTTCCGAAGGGAGCTGTATAAATTTACATAGGCACTCATGCCAAAAATGACCCTGACACAGAAACACAATTAAGTGTGTGCTTAACTTTAAGCCCATTAGCAGTCCTTTAAAGTCAATGGGACTATAACTTTCTTAAATTTAAACACGTGCTTAAGTGCTTTGTTGGATCAGGGCCATAGTACACAACAAAATTTGACTTTCTCTTTAAAAAAGAGCTGTGTCTGGGTAAACTATGTCAACTTGCATTTTTACCAATGTATCTAATTTGGGGGAAAAAAAGTTAATAGACATTTACAATTAAGACACATTCTTTAATACTCTAACCAATCCTAACAGTTTACAGTCTGAGAGAAAACAGTGATTAGGTACAAGAGTGACAACAGCACCATGACAAGAGTTCATTTAGTACACACTAATTTCATTAAAGCACCAAAAACGAAGTATGATGCACTCTTATGAAAACTTCCTTCACTATTTGAAAGGAAAGGTGAGCCACTATAATTTATTCATTCAGCAATTTATTTATAAAGAAACTCAGAAATTCTAAACTTTTTTTTCAATTCTAGAAAGTCTGCATGGTAATTGAGGTTTTCCTGTTGAATATTAATGTCTGGTATTTCATAGTGAAGTGCAAGAATTAAAAAAAAATTGAAACATAGATTTTTAAACTTCTGCCTTATCACTTGCTAAACCAATCACACAACTGTACAGTTCTTTAGAACTGTGCTAGAATATGGAAGTGGATGACCTCATCTAAGTCAGACTGTGGATGAAAGAGGTAAAGCTAAATGGAAGCCAATGGAGACTGCTACTAAAAAAATGAGAGCAGGGAGCTGACTGGGAAGTATGCATTGTTTTGGAGGCAGGAAAACATACAGTCTAAATCCTGAATTTGGGCCAGATGCTGATTTTATATTAATTGGGAAAACCCATAGCCACAGGCAGGAATTTTAATAATTTATTTTGCATTCAGTGTTTGATGGAGATAGTAAAAAGAGATGCTATTTTTTCCATTGTGTGGCATGTGTAGTGCACACTTGGCAACATAATGGACCAATATGACTTCCCTGAAGTCAATGAAAATTTTGCTTTGACTAGACTGGGAGCAGGCTCAGACTGATATAAAATCAGGATCAAGCAACAGAGCAGCTTTTGAGTTATGATGTTTTGTAAGTCATCCAACATTTTATAGTTGAATGGTTAAGATTATGATAATTTTGAAAGTTTCCTAAGGTCTTTGATGAAACTCATGGATGACACTGCAGTTTTTATTTTACGCCCCTAGAGTTTTTTCTTGAATGCATAAACAGAAAAGACAGACAGAAAAAAAAAAGAGATGCTTTTGTAAAACACAATTGAGTCCAATTCTCTACTGCTTACCCCCATATGTAGACATTTACACCTGTAAAAAGGTTGAGTAAAATCCTATTCTTATGATTTGGCATGCTTTGCATGCATATAAATGGCCACACAAGCTTTAAGGCAGTGGAGGTCATGCCACCATGAGCCCAATAATAATAAGAGGAAAGAGGTGTGTTCATTAAGGACATATCAGGATGGCTTAGACAGTGAAGTAATGACCTAAATTATTGGTAAGCAAATAGGTTCAAGTAACAGTTGATTCAAACCTTAACTTAACTCAGCCTTGGCTTCTTTTATTTTTATTATTTCTTCCCATGCCTGCAGTTCCTGGTTTGGGTTAAGATAGGAAATGCAAAAATTCTGCAAGAAAAGCTTTTCATGTGATATTTCCCATCCAGCTCTACAGATCCAAGGAGCCTGGATACAGTTTGCAGAAGCATCTATACTTTTGGCTGCTTTTCTGGGTAGAAGATCCAAAGCACTGGCAAATTGCCCATCACTGAACCACCTCATTAGTTTCCAACAGAATGAGATCCATAACCAGAGATTTTACTGACCTCAATGGTAACATATCGAGCAAAATATTTGAACAACTTTTTGTGGAGTGGCTGAAAAAGCAACCGTGATATGCACATTTAAATAAAAGAACTGGTGGCATTTCTGTCAAAATTTCTCAGAAATGCAATGAATAGAAACCTACAATATCTCAACTCATTTTAGATTTAGTAAGTTAAACTCTATACAAACCTAGTGAACAATTATTTTTGTGCTCATTTTGTTGAGAAAACATACCAGTGTTAGCAAACATTCTAAATTTATCCTCCATGTCATTAAAAGAGAAGTCAGTGGAGGTGTCTATTTCTTTAACTTAGTATTAAAAGAAAAGGATGCAAAACCTTGCGGAAGCCTCATTGTGAAGCCTACTGTAACTAAGAAGGCTCACGGGAGAACATTTAAAATAATGATGGGTATCAACTGTCATCACATTCCATAACTAAAAACTTAAAAGGTTGAACCTACATTTTTCTTGGCCTTACTTTACAAGCAGTCATTTTTTTATTTTGCTAATAAAAAAAGCTTTTGAACATTCCCCCTCTATGTAAATGCAGGACACCAGCCGTGGTATACCACA